GTGCCACCTGTTCCAGGACTGCCCTTCAGGAGGTGGATGACAACAAGGTGCTAAGTGTGATAGGAATTGAGGGAGGTTGGTTTGTTTTTTTTTTTCCTGGACTGCTCTCCAGTAAGAGTACAGCAATCTTTCCAACTGTTGTCTTTTTTAATTTTTTTATTTTTTAACTTTTTTATTTAAGCTACTCTATTTTTAATGTTGCAGGAGTCCAGGAGAAAATGGGGATAATGAACAAAGGAGTGATTTATGGACTCTGGGATTATGAGGCTCAGAATGACGATGAGCTCTCAATGAAAGAGGGGGACTGCATGACAATCCTGCGCCGGGAAGATGAAGATGAAATTGAGTGGTGGTGGGCACGGCTGAATGACAAGGAAGGCTATGTTCCCCGCAACCTGCTAGGGGTGAGTCCTTGATATTTCCCCTATGTGGAGTACACAAAGCATTATTCTCAGGAGTCTAGGTTAGGTGCAATTTCAAAAGTCAAAAGGAAGGAGTTAACGTTCTCCATCTATTCATTTGGGGAGTTGAATACTTTGGCAGAGTGGGTTAACAACCTCGGTTTAGATAAGGAACGTAGATTATATTAATGGGTGCATAAAAGAACAACATATATCACTATGCTGCTATACGTGGCAGGTTCTAATACTAACCTTGTCTCACCTTTTATCTGAACATGATGTGTGCATAAGGTTTTGTTGAGCATGTGAACAGAACTGGGTTTCCCCTCTTTTAGAAAGTGATATACTGGCACAAAGGGCCTTAAGAACTGAAACTTGTATGAGGAATGAGTCACGAGTCCTTCTTTGTCTGGGTGTACACAGTGCACCTTGTGATCAGAGATGGTTTCACAGAGTTTTAAGACACACACTGCAAAAGTCTGTGGCTATATTTTTTTTTTTCTTTCCAGTTGCCACATGAAGATCTTTGTTTTCTCCTGTGCTCTTTAACTAATATTTAACCATATGTCAAAGGCCTTAAATGAACGGCCTCTCCTTTCGTCATCACCTTCTATATACTACCTCTTTTATTAAAAACAACCGTGTACAAATAATACTTTCAGTTATGTCCCCATATTTCTCCTCATGCCTGAGTTGCTAGAAAATTGTACGTGTGTCCGTCTGGTATAGAAATTCCACTAAGCTTTTTTTCTACACATCCAGTTGCCCTGCTGCTGGAGATAAGAGGGTTCTGCCAATGCTAAAGATTAACCACTGTGAATTTTAGCTGATTGATGTATGATGCTTGAAAGAGGCTGAACCTCCTTCCTCATGCAGATAATCCTTACTCTTAAACTGGTCAGATTTTGCAGAGCAACTATACCTAATGCAAAATCAGTTGTCATATCTGTATCACTTTCAGGCCTACGCACAATGTACTGTAAAATTCTCCTTGACATAGTACTTCTGCTCAGTTTTTTCCTCTCTGAATGTAACAATTTCTAAATTGAGAGCAGCCATCAGCCCTGCACAGTAAGGTCAGAAAAAGCAGCTTTTTTTTTTCTTCTTTCCTGCCCCAGGGTGAATTGTGCTGTTTCTTCATAAGTTTGCACACTCAGCCTGAGCACAGGTATATAAGAACATGAGGAACATCTGTGCTTCTGTAATAAAAACCACAAGGCCACACAGATTGCGACTCATCCTTCTAAGCACAACACAATCTGAACAGAACCTTTGGGGAAAACTTCCCAAGCCTAGTGTTAACTGCTTACATTCTTGTGTCTGTTCAGCTGTTCTAGTACTGCTACCAAAGTATTCTGTGGTTATTCTCAAAAGCAATTGCTGGACTCTTAATATAGCAGTTGAAATCTAGGCTAAGATGTTCAGCACAGAGGAAAATGTTTGGTAGTTTAATATAGTCTTAAGTCATATTTTTATCACAGCTGCTTTAGCCTTTTGCGGTTAGGTGTGCTGAATAAAAACAAGGATGAAATTATCTGCATCAGTGTGTTACCCTTCTTAGTGACTCATTAGCTCCCTAAGCTGTGTGAGAGCTCTAAAACTGAATGCAGATAATACTGTCAAAATACTGACTACTTAGTGTTCAAAAGATTTCATTTGGTATTATCAGGTGTTTTGCTACTGTGACTGTCTGACTTCATCTCTGCTAGTGGTGAAATCATAGCGGGCTGTGACAAATCTTGTGGGCGAAGTTGTTGGTCTTCTCTTAATCATTAGCTGACTATGAAAAAGAAGAAAGCCAGAGTCTGGTTGAAGAGAGAAGAGGGCATCTTTAAGGAGAACTTTAGCTGGAAAAAAACCCAACTAGGATGTAACATAGACATGCATTGCCTTTTAGAGCATGGAGGATTCATCTTTCCTAATTGTATGACGTGTATCCTTCTATTTTTATATGCGAGTAGCCATGCTTTGCAGAACAGTAGTTGTTCCCAAAGCCCTTTGCAAGTGGGAACCAAGAGCTTCCCAAGCATCTTGGCACTGCTGTGTTGAGCTGCGTCCCATCAGTCATCACCCTGCAGCTGAGGGGGGTCTCTGTACCTCCCTGTGCGTAGCTTGAGTGAATAGCACAGAGCTCAAGGGCTGCAGGGTGGCAGCTACTGAGGTACTGCCAGGCGGTTAAATGAATATAACTGGCCACCTACTATCCACTAACTAAAGCGCAGCTCCTACAGTTCTGTGGTCCGCATGCAGCCAGATGTTTCCAGCTTGCCCAAAGCTATAGATATGTAAAGGCTGATAGGCATTGAGAGAAAAAGCAAACCAGACTTTACTACCTCTCTATTTCCATTTGTAAAACAGGGGAAAATCCTATAGTTCACTGAACACAAAATTCTCTTGACTTACAAAGCCACATGCTTTTCCTAGCCCACCCATCTGGGTAGAGCTGAAGGTGTTGAATCATGTGCAATGGCTTCCTTTTGTACTGACATGGTTAGTATTTTTTAAGCTTGCCTAAGAATGCTAAATTTTTTATTTGTAGTGCTCTGGGTGTTTTTCTTATAACCATGCTTTTGCTACTAGAAATTACATTAGAATTGTAGCAACAAAGAGGTTTTTCTTTCCTTTTTTTTTTTTTTAAAGTAACCTTTTAAAGCATTAAAATTTTAAATCTCATTTCTATTTTACCCTCAGCTGTATCCAAGGATTAAACCTAGACAAAGAAGCTTGGCATGAAATAGTACAGAAGCCAGATTCTTGAAGTACTAATCATGGATGACTTACAAAAAAAAATCATTTTGTGGTGGTTCCAATATCATGAGACTTATTTCAATGACAATGTAATTTGAAAGCTATGAAGAATGTGCTTTGAAAACAAATGAAGGATTGATGCATTAGCAAATGGATGAGGGCATTCGACAAGATGAAATAATGCTTACAAGCAAATGAAGTTCTGCTGCCTTGGTCTAAGCAAGCCATTATGTTCAAGTACCCACTCTGATTTCTTCAAACATGGCAGAAAAGAATTTCACATTTTCCTGTATTAAATACAAGGACCTTCTCAATTTACCATTGAAGGAATCACTGTGAAACAGACAACTTGGCTTTGTCCAAATTTATCCTGAGGCTTTTTCCAGATGGGAGAAATTAAAGTACGTGCACAGCACCCAAATGCCTGTTGCTGGAAGCAGAACGCTTGTTAAAGCAGCTAAACAGAAGTGCATCTGAACAGTGACAACCACATGACCATTAAGCAATAACTCTTAAAAATGCTGTAGCATCTTAGGAATTTCATGTATTCAAAATATTATGTGCTGTAACAAAGTAGTTTTAGGTTCCTCTTTTTACAAAGTCTCATGTATTTATTGTATTTTGTACTTTGAAAGCTAAGTGTAGAAACTTTCTGTAGTCCTTGACAACTTGTTTTTACTTAACTGTGATACCATTAAACTTTTGTTTCCTCTTAAACTCTAACTCTGGGTATTTTAGTGTCAAGTTTTTATTAGACCCTCTGAAAACATTACCAGTAAGACATAGTGCTGTTCTATGTTATGCTAATATTCACCTACTTTCTGTATTAAATCCCCATTTGTTCAAGACAGTTTTTCTGCATTTAAAATTAAGCCAGATCTGTTAGTTGCATATAACCTTTGTTAACCTTAAAAGCTAAGGGACATAAGAAAAAAAACTTGGTACAAGTGTTTTCCAAATAAAGCCTTTCCTCTAGAACTATCCTTTATATCTATCTCTTTGGGAATAATCATTTGATAATACATACTACTTAATAGAGAGGATCAAATCTTTATATTTAGGAAGTGCCTCACCATTCAGGCTCATGTTTTCCTATTAGGTAGGAAAAGGCAACATGTTCTATTCCTAACAGAAGCTCAGTGTATGTGCTGTGATGATCTCTCTCTAAGAAAAAGTGTGCTTAGCTACAGAAGAAATAACAGTCTGGCAAACTTTACTGTTTTTATTTAAATACCTTCTTGTACTTCAAAGGAAGATAAGATACAGAAAATCAAGATTCCACCTGAGAGCATGCGCTTGTTCTTAGAAGAGTCTGGTTGCCAACAGCTTCCTGCTACAGGCTCTTTAATGGTCAGGAGGGAAAGACTTGTCTCCAGTTTGGTCAAATGTGTCAAACTTGCTACCTGCATTCTTAATATTTAACCGGAATAATGCTGGGGCTTGACAGAAAGCATACAACAGCGCTACATCTTACCTAAACACCTGTATTCAGAAATACACAATACTATCCCTTATCTAGTTTCAGATATGCAGGATGGAACAGAGCTACTCAAAAAGCACTTATTAAACCAGACTGTCAAGCCATACTGAGCTTTCTTCCCAAAGAAGTCATATAAAATACCTTAAATTCAAAGATATTAGCAAAGCACTATTTTCAAAAGTTGCACTGAGGATTTATACTAAATTAGGATTTTTTTTGTACAGAGGATATATAGTAGTAGATAAAAACTGTCAGACCATAAAAAAGAGGTTGCAAATTCTTCTGTTGTTGAAGTAGAACACTTTCCTTCTTACAGCTGTGTGCAAAGTTTGCCATGCACAAGTTAAGGCACATTCATGTTAGGATAGCACTTGTATGTTTGCTTGATTATCTTCTTCTGAACTTGCTCTTTTTTGAGATCTCTTGAGATGAGAGCAGTAGCTCAAATGACAGTAAAGCACAGCCACTGTAACGAGAGAGAGCGCAAAATGGCCCACAGTTAAGTTTAGTAAAAATACATGTAGCACATATGCACGTTCCCATTTCTAGCATAAAGAAGAAAGTCTATTAGTACAGAAGTAATTTTAGGACCTTTCCTGAATAGTTTAAATTTATATATCTCATTTAAGTCAGGAGAGTTTGGGGATGATTTCTCCATCCCTCATTTTGGTCCAGAAATACGCTCAGGTAATAAGCAAGTCAAATGTGTAGAAGGGTAGTTTTCTTCTAACTTGGCCCTTTCTACAGGGTCTTATGGTGCAGAAAGCAGCAGCCACAGCCAATAGCGCAAGTCACTGCTGCCGCCACCCACAGCCAATAGCGCAAGTCACTACTGCACCTCCCTATTAACCTGTTGTTGATAGAAAAGGCAGGGAAGAAACCTGCACAGTTAGCAGCCAAAATTGCTGCCAGTGATAAATGGCATCGGGTTCAAGTAACCTGGCCTGTTTGTTAGAGAATGCAACGTAATGTAGTTTTAAAAAACAGTAATCTTAAAACTGCTTATAAATACACAAGCTACATCAATCCAACCTATATGTGAATACATATAATCAGGCAGAATAGAGCAGGGCAGTCTTTACTGTTACCCTCCCTACCCCTAAAAAAAAACCCCAAAACCACCAATGACAAACATTTTAGAGCTAAATGAACTTACATTAACGAGATTCAATTCTATGGTTCCAGTTTTTTCAGTATCCAGTTTTCTAAACATTTCTGTGGTAGGAGAGATGACAGACAAGGATGAATATAGGAACTAATTGGAAAGCCTTCCTCTTCCTTGCACTTCAGCATCAAAAAGGAATTTAGTCCCACAGTCTAAAATTTATGACAACGGTCTATACCCCAAAACAGAAGGTGCCACTCTAAAGTCATTGTGTGCTCATGTGCAAGAACATGTTCAGCCTAATATTAATACTATTTTTCAACCTATAGGTGTTTAGATTTTGATGATTTTTTTTTTTAAATCAACATTTAGTTGTTTGCATGGAAGACTGTCTGGCTCTGGTTCAGCCCTTTAGACCAGCCTGCAGACTGAGTTGCTGGGTTTAAAGCTCAGCCTTAAAGTTGCCTTAGTTCCAGTACAAAGTTTTCTGAATAACTTATCCTGGACTTGAAAACAAAAGCAACAGCTTCTGTCTTAATTATTAAGTGTGTACTCACTGAACAAAGTTTCCAGCCGAATCAAACACCGGACAAAGTTATCAAAGTCGATGATGAGGTCTTCATCAGCAAAACGAGCCACAATGATTTGATGTAACTGGCAGTTCAGTTTGAACCCTAAAAATACCATATCAAGGATTTCAAAAGAGAAAAAAAAAAGGCAAAAAGCTCCAACCAACAAAAGCACCCCAACCTTACATGCTGCCAGAAATTCAGTTAGCTTGTTTTGGTTAAATTCTCAACTTTTAGGAGTATTTACTCCATTTTGGAAACTCCCAACCACCCCTTCTGTACATGGCGTGATATAAAGTTGTGACTAGGCCACGCACAGTGTTCCTGTTGCATGTGCATTTCCCAGGGCACAAGGCCAATTGCTCCAGCTCATGGTCCTTCCCCGGGTGATGAGGCACCTGCCAAACTCGGCCCCGAGACCCGAGATGAAGCAGCAGCTTTCTGTGGGCAACTGGGTCTTTGTTTCCAAAGAGCATCTAAACTTTGGGACAAAAAGAAACGCTCTCTCATCTTATGTGGTGACAGGAAGAGAAAGCTCCACAGAGGTCAAATGCTGACATTAAGATGGCCCCAGAAGATCAGTACATCAATTAGGGATCATATGGGTCTGTGATACTCCCCTACTCACTGTCATAACTCTGACTTACTTTTCAGTGGTTGCAGTAGCAAACTGACTCTTCGCCCCCCCCTTGGTCAAGCCACTTTCCTTCCCTAGGTCACAGTATCCCAGTTTTACAGGCTTATGCCAAACCCACATATACCCAGAGAGACTCACTGAAAGACAACAGTGTGCTATTATGAGACCAGATTATTGCAGTTATTTGTGCTTCTCCATTTGTGGTCACTACAGAAAATAACTGCAAACCTGTCACCCCTTTGAGATGCTTTTAGTGTGCCCACGTGGCAAGACACTGCTACACAAAGACAAGAGCCCAGGCTGAGCATCTAGATTAAACAGAGGCCTTCATCACGTCCAGGAACACAGGATTTTTCAGCTTACAAGTGATTTACAAGAGACTAGTGAGCATCTATAAACCCAGCTGGAAACATATAATCCTAAAAAGAGACAGACCAGTATAAATACCTGCAGTTTCCAGTGCTCTCCTCATCTCATACGAATTCATGGTACCGGATCGATCCACATCAATTTCCCTATAAATTTTCTGAAGAACATAAAAACCAAAGTCAAAACTTGTTAATAATTCAGAGTGTGTTTTGGCTTTAGTTGGAAGTCAAATGTTTTGAAATGACATATGCACACTGCTTAGGAGCATTTGCAATGTCGGTCTGAAGGACTAGGTACTTTTTCCCCCGAGTTTGCCTAACAGCAGCTTTAGAAAGTAAAGTCTTTTTATTGCAGCAGCCAGAGTGGATAAAGACTCTGGAGAATTCCTTGAATGCCTGTGCAAAATGGCACTATCGTTACCAAAGCAAGCGGCAAGACCGACACCAAACTCACACTGTTACGTGCAAAAGCTAAATGTACTTGGATGCGAGTTAAAACACAACAGAAACCCCTCTGAGAGCAAGGCAGGGAGAGAGGCAAGCTCTCCTTCAGGCCAGCGCCTGAGGGACCACCAGTCACACCCCTGGAATCCAAGGGACAAAACCTGGGGGACCGAGGACATAAACGCATCGTGAGCTGAAGCAAGAGTCCCTGCTTTGGGAAGCGTGATTGTATACACTGTGCAAGGCAATCAGTCTATGGCCACCTCTTCATCTGATTGCACGTTCCAAGCAAAAATGGTGTGTCTTACCTGGTATTTCTGAATCTTTGTCCAGAGGGTGTGGAATTCCTTCAGTCCCAGTTTACCACTCCCATCATTCTTCTTTGAGTTAAGGTAATATCTTTGGAGAGAAGGAGAAGGGTTTTCTCCTTCCTGTGGTGGGTTTACTTACTTAAAAAAATAAAAATTGCAATTAAGAAAAGGATGCAAGTCCTCTCTGAAGGACTCATCCTGTTGAATACACAGCTGTTGTCCAAGATTTCTTGTCTTTCTAAATCAACAGGGTGATCAGTTCACTTAAACCAGGATCAGTTCACAAGCTCTTTCTGCTCCTCCTTTGTCAGCTCTCTCTTTTCAATACATGTATAAAACAGCCCCGATGATGCCATTTTGTTCTGCATTGTTGGTTCAACACCTGCAGTTACAGGAGCATGAGTCCCAAGTCTGGATTATAAACAGGAAAAGCCACAACCCAGCCTGCTATTTGGACAACTTAAGTTCTTGCACAAACAGCTAACAAAAGAACCTGGTCATTGCACTGCTCCCAAAAAAAATACTACTAAGGAGTCCATACAGACTGCCAAATTGTACGCTAAATTATAGCAAAGCATCATTTTCTTTTGGTAATTTTCCTTTTTCTGACTATGCAGTTCAACTCCCACTGCACAGAGAAGGTGAACACAACTATACTTAGATACGAATCCTCATCCTACGCCTTTGCCCTTATTCTTAGGGGCTCCTAAAAGCCAGCATACCCTCTGGCTCCTGTACTTGTTTCATTCCTTTTCTATTATTTGCTTTACAATGCCCCTACGAACTCCAGCCAGATAACAAAGCAGAGAAATGCAATGTTCAAACACTACAGTCAAGGCAGCCCACACCTTGCTGAGAGCCTGATGCCTTTTCCCAGCACAAACATCCCTTTGTTTCCAGCTAAACCGAACGTGCAACAGCTGGGAAGACTTCAAAGCAGATCATCCTGTCTGAAAATGGATTTTCCCCGCTGCCTGGGAGAATGCATGTGCCACAGTCAGCAGCAAGAGCAAGGGCTACCGATTTTATTCAGGGAACCACGGTAAAACCAGCTTCTCCACCTCAGCAGTACATCAGTACGGACCCACCACTGCAAAGGCAGCAGCTCGCCTACTCCAGCACAGACAGAAGAGTATCATCTAGGAATAGCCATAAAGGATACATCTAACAGGTCAACCATTATTTTGCATGTCTCGATACTAAAGCCATCAGATTTAATATCTTGGCCTGTAAAAAAAGAGCAAAAGACAGGATTATCAATTGCATGCTGCACCACGGCACCTTCCTAAATAGCTCATGACCTCTCTAACCAGCGTATACACCTCAGCCCTTATTTGCTTCTGTGTCATCAGTGGCTTCCTTTGCAACTGGCAAGATGACTTTTTCATTTCGGTGTGTTTTTTTTCTTCTACATAATGTGTGCATAGTGCTCTATGTTGTTTGTGATCTACACCTGTTAGTTACTCGATGGCAATCCCCTGCCTGCTTCCAAATCCTCCCCTGGGAATGGGTGTCCAGCTGTATCCCTGGGCCAGACGAGCGCAGTGCACAGCAGGGGATGCTGCCTCCTGCTCTGGCAATTATTATCTGAAGCCTTTGGGATCTGGCAAGTACCTAGCGCGATGCAGACTGGAGGACGCGGTGCCTGTAGAGCTACAGTCAGGATACCTGTGTACAGATAGCCCTCAAGCGCTGGATGGGAAACCCTCGCCTGATGTTGCTGGATGGGAAACTCTTGCCTGATGCTGCTTAGGTGCGCCCTCTGAGGTAAGCTACGACTTCTGCCAACTCCTTTGCATCCAGCAGAGCAGGAGGCAATGGTCACTTAGAGGTGTGGTCAGCAGGGTCAGGACTTGCTTGTGAGGGAGAGCTTCAGGCGGGAGGACATGTGAGCAAGGATTACAAGGCGCTTGGCAAAGGGTCGTAAGATGGTCCTTGTTTTGCACATGAGAGGGACGCAGCACTGAAGCAGGCAAATGGATGCTAATAAGCAGCCGGCTTTGATTTCCTGGCAAAGAGGCTTAGGGGGAAAGTTAGCTGTGATGCTTCCCCTAGCGAACAGCCCAGTTAGCCTGGTTTGTAGGTGTGCCAGAGAAGCAAGAGATAGAGATAAAGCTTTCCCACACTTATTGTGTGCCTGCAAAGACAAGGGTGGACTTCTGTGGACAATGTGGACTTCTGACCTACGGAGGTCAGTGGTAGGTAGCTTCATGCAAGGGAAGAACATCAAATCAAGCCTGGTAACCAGCAATACACCATTGCTAACTGGCTGGTGCACAGACATACAACACAGCCCTGGCTAAGGTTTCACTTTGGAAATTAGAGATGCTTATTTCTCAAGCACTGTTTAATGGAAAGGAAAATAATGCAAAGCCAAACTCTGAATCACTTTGCAGAAAAAAAAAAGCCCAGAGTTTCAAAGTTTCTCCTCCTCCTCAGGGACACCCCAGACCATTGGCTGGGCTACCGTTTGAATCCTGAGTGGTTTAATACCGACATAGCAGCAATACCTTCTCTTGATTATTATCAAGCATTAATCAAAGCTGTCCATCTTCCTGGGAGCCAATTCCCAGTAGCCCACACTGGGATAAAATGTACGCACATGCACCCTACCAAAGCGCGTGTCCTGTGAAACACACCTTCAGCGTAGGCACAGCCCCAGTGTTTCCACAGCCCGCTGAAGGAGCGGAGATAGCACGTGGCCGTGGCCATACGGAGAGCCAAGCCGCAGGTCTGGGGCAGAGCCCAGGAGTTTGACTCTGCCCAGGTCAGTGCTGCGCTCTGTGCTCTCACAGCCATACCAGAAACCTGCTGGTGGCCAACTGAAGACACAGTTAGAAGAAGGTACTTACGTTTAGCCATGACTTTATTCAAGATGTTGCGCAGTTCAAAGGCGGAGATCTCTGCATCCTGCAGGAAAGAGGAAAACAAGTTCTTCACTGTGAGCTGCAGACACCATCTCATAAGCAGCCTCTGACTCCTTTGGGAGAGTTGGCCCAGTGTTCCAACTTTCCCTTGGGTGGAAATACAAATGGTAAGCTCTCCCCACCACCCATTCCCGGGAGCACCCCGAATTCCCAGGCGTTAGCACGTTGGGCTGTGGCGTCTGGCCGAGCCCTTGGGCAGGCGAGGGCAGCCTGGGGAGAAGGCACAGCCCAGCCCTCGTCATCTCCCGGAGGGACCTATGTGCCTGCACCAAATGCTCTGCCCGAAGGACAAAATTAGGGACCTGCAGAGATAAAAGTCAAGCCTGCAGTTCAAAGAGAGCAGAGATTGTTTGCCCGGAGTGCTCGCAAATCCGTTGCGTAAGCAGACGGGTAACTACACGGATTTTTGCACGCACAATTATGCCTACGCTCAAGATCTGACTCAGCACAAGAATTCAACTCCATCCTGGGGGAGGCATCTCTCTTACCCACTCACCCATGTTACCAGCAAGATGTTAACAGAAAAATACTCACACTTCCTGCTAGCTGTCCAAAAAGCTTTTTAAAGCTGGGTTCAATGTCATCTTCACTGATCTCAGTCTAGGAGAGAGAAATAGAGAATATGGAAAGGAGGAACTTTTCTGCCCGAGAAGGGCCTAGTACCTTCCCTTGCGCCTAGTAAAAAACAATTTAAATGTGAAAGTTGAAGGTACAAAGTGCTTCTACTTTGATTTTAATCGGTTTTATTTTCAGGGGTTCCTCAAAGTGCTGGCATTGCAAACACTGCAGGAATTAAGAACTTTTGCAATGGCTTTTACTTAAAGAAATAAAATTTAAAAATTAAAAATTATTTTATTTTTAAAAAATCACTACCAAATTCAGAACTTCACTGTTGCTGCTGCTGCTACTACTACTGTTGGACCAGCTGTCTTCATTAAAGAAAAACAAGCAAAATGTAGTTCTTACCCTGCAAAAATAAACCAAACCCACAGAGAGTGGTAGATGCATTAGTAGGCAAAACATCCCCAGCTCCAGCAAGACTAAACACACAGCGAACCTCTTCTTACTCATGGAAACAACATCATGTGCAAACACACCCTTATGGCTAAAGGGCTGCAATCCCGGATTCCTGAGGAGCAACGGGAATTTTTCGTGGCTCCAGTTACCTCTGCAGAGAATACTTGATTTCCTCTGCCTGGGAAGCCCAAGCTCACCACTCGGGATAAGGGACAATGCGTGTTTCCATTACTGCCTATGACATTTCCATTTGCTGGACATTCAACTATGGATATTGAAAGATCTGTTTCCCAAGTGGGACGACAGCTCAAGACAATGCCTACAGAAAAATGCTGCCCTGCATCCGGAACAGGCACACCGACTTATTTATGACAAAATTATCTTAGCTTAAAACATTTAAGATATACCTCATCAAAATTGGCCTCAATTTCATCATCTATAACCCTAGAAAAATAAAGAAATCAATATTAAAAACAAACCAAGTCACTTTTCTGATGCCCTTGTTTCACGTTTCAGTTAAAGAGGGATTCTTTAAATTATGGGAATAATGAATGTTCAAAGCTCCGAGGTTACTGGATTAAATCAACCACAGACACTGCACGCCACCAGTGAAAGCAGTGTTTTGCTAACTACGGCAACAAGACTTTCAAAACACATTACAAACTCCACAACATCCTGCAGAGTCACAGACAGGATTTTGGGTCAGACATAAGTAACCCTTTGGGTCGCTTAGCGCCACAGCCTACAGACCTCGGCCCAGAACCAGGCTCTTGGGTGCAAATCAAACTTCTATCTAGTAATTTTTTTTCCTCCTTTTAAACAGCAAAAGTGAAAGACTTAAAGTCATTCTGATGCGACAGAGTGGGAGGAGAAGTGTTTCACTCTGTCCCCCACTGCTGTGGGAGCATCACACCTACAGATGGTCCATAAGCACTGCTAAGGGCCCATCAAAGCTGAATGTGCCTTCACACAACTGACATCACAGTTTTTTCACTGCTACAGAAACAGGCAACAAAAGATTGCAGAACAGTAGAAAGGTTTTTGCATGCTTTGAATGAAGGAACTCCATACAAAAGATCCCACACCTCTTCCCAAGGCCTCAGCCCAGCTGCTCTTTAAGATGTGACACATCTAAATTTTTTTCACGGCTTCACAGCTAATGGTGTGGTTTGAGCCAGTTCCATTAAAACCCACTTTAATTTTATCATTTGGTTAAGCAAGCATCTTGAATTTTTTTCCAGCCTGATCTCAAAGGCAGGAGATCAATTGTTGCGACCAGCGTGTTCCCAAACAGCCGAAAGCATGTGCATTTCTGTCTCCCAAGGGGAGAGCCCAGCCTGCCACACTCTGGGGTTTTCTTTTCTCCACAGACCAACCTGTGCTGTGGCACCCAGCTGCCTACAGCCCACGCACTAAAAATGTCTGCCCAGGTAGGGCTGGTAATAACAACAACAACAACCACCTGTTATAGTATACTATACTATTATTATTCCACCATTCCTTCCTGCTAAGTTTACTCAAACTTTCCTCAGTTACACATGGGGAAACTGGGCACAAACAAGAACTGCCGTGACCCCATCCCTGCAGGGTGGTTGCGCATCCCCTTCCCACTCCCTGCAGGAAGCTGAGGTACCCCAGCTTTGGGCTACTCCACCCTTCCACACCTGTGAGAGGGGCCAGAGATCGCCCGCGTGCCCATACCGCTCTTACATGGTTACAAGAGCTACATACGTGGAGTTTGCGTTTTTTTCAGAGAAGACACGCAGACAGAAATCCCCATTCTTGTTGGGTTCGAAGGTTGAGGGTACGATGATATATTCTCCTGCAGGGAGCTTGAACCGGTTCAGCTCTTCTCGGAGGTTGATAAAGGTGTTCGATTTTTCTCTTGCTTTGTTGGTCAGGAAAAAGTTTTTGCTCAGATGAATATTTGTCTGGCCAGAAAACTTATGACAAGCAAAGAAAGAAGGAAGAAAAAAACCCCAACAGTTTGCATGTATTTGCATTTAAAAATTAAAATTATAATAGATATGACAATTAGTTACGTATGAAAAAAAAAAACCAAACAAAACACCCAACCATCCAAGAGACGTCTGTTCAACAGATCCGAAAGAGGGAAGAGAAAGGGGGTGGGTGCATCCCACCACAGCACTCCTAAGCTGTGGCTGCAAACATATTTTGCAGATCATCTCAATAAACCATTCAGGTCATGCTTATATCGTGCAGATGATGATGGGTGTGTGAAGACATTTGGCTACTTCTTCCACCAACTATTCTTCTCTAAAGCGAGATGGCTTACCACCCGTGTCCCTCCAGTCCCCAGAGCCAAAGCCACCAAGGGACTGCAGCTCTGCTCTGCCTCTGAGGCCAGGCTGCCTTAAGGGAGAGAGCCTGCTTACAGAGGGCTCCAAGAATAAAATAAATGTTAAGCATCATAAAAGTGTATTTGGAGCGTAACATCTACCAGAATAAATTCTTCTGCACAGGGTCTTACAGGTGGGCTAGCTCAGCTCTAGAAGCAAACACTGGGAACGTGCATGGTTCAGAAATCTCCCCCTTCCCGTTCTCCTGGATTTTTAAGAATGCAAAACCTGCCAGACCTGCTGCCATGGTGGGAGATAAAATTCCACTTTTTGGGGGGGTGGGGAGAAAAGTCATGGGACTGTAGCTAGAGCCTCTATTTTATGGAAGTCAGGTTTCTGGACCACTAGGGTGAGAGCTGAGCGGCTGACAGAGTACTGTCAGGTAGGTCAGAAGTTTAATTAACTGGCAGCACTATTTCCTCCCTGACAAAACCGCATTTTACATAGCAGTGGCTGGTTTGAGTGTAGCCTCAGGAGCCATGAGGTGCCCCAATCGCTTTGCATACACCCTCACAGGTACAGCAGGCCATGTAGTGAGATTACACGGGCGTTTTGCTCAACCTCACTCCTTCCTCTGAGGAGCAACAGCTCCCAGGCACCTGCAGCCCTGCCTCCTATTGCATAGGCATCCCACTGCATTGCCACCCCTCTCTGATCCCCGGGGCACGCTATTAGCTACCTGCAGGTAGAAACAGAGAGAAACCAATAAAAACAATGCTTAGGGAAATGAAAATAAACATCTCCTTGGAATATTACTTGTGTGTCAAACATGAACTCTGTGCAAACCTGAGAAAAGCAGCTGAGCTCTGGGGGAGAAGGTGTGTGTCTCGGCTGGGAGACGACCCGTGGAAGAGCAGCTTTGGTGAGTTTCTGCAGTACAGAGAGCTCTTATCCCAACCCAAGACACTCTGAAAATGCAACATGGGCTCAAGGCCCCTTCCAGAATAAATGGCCTCTAACTTCAGACTCTAGACAGTCAATATTGTCCCTCAGTGAAGGAGGATCCTCTGAACTGTTTCTTCCCACAAGCCACTCAGCCCCAACTCTGCACCTTGACCACCAATGCATGCTACGTACCTCGGGGGGCACCTGCAAGGAGAAAAGGAGAGAGTTATTTGCTTGTTGAATAGTAGCTCCAGGGCTACTGCTTTTCACTCTTGGTTAGCTGGTACATCCACACACTTGAAAAAAAAAAAAAACCAAAAAAAAAAAACCAAAAAACACTTGGCTGGTGGGGAAAGGTGAACACCGAGCCCACGTTACCCAATGCTGACTGCTGGCTCAGCTCCCAGCTCCATCCTGGAGGCAGGGGAGGCTCAGCCGGGGCAGCACGGGCACAGCCAGGCACGGACACAGCCAGGCAGGTCGTGGTTTCCTGCTGAAATGCTGACCCTCTACCCTGCAGCCCACTGTGATATTTTTTTGTAGACTCAGTTTCTCTACTATCTCTTCTCACCTTCTCTTTCAACCCTCTTGTCCCTCTGACCTCTCCAGCACCAGGAGAGGAGGCAGGGGCTAAGCAAGATAATAACGCAGTTTTCTGTTTCCTTATGGGTTCAGGGGACCTAGCTTTGCTTTAAACCTTACTTGCTTACGGGGACCAGATTCTTTGACAAGCTTTTCCAAAGCTGGGATACTGAGAAAGCAAGGAGTTGCACATATTGCCTATGGTTACAGAGCAATGTGCAGGCCAGACCATTATTCCTATTTTCACTGCCAGTTAAGCACGGCTGCTTTACAGCTCCGTACAAAACGTCTTGCTTCAGGAGTTACCATACCATCATTCAGCAGAAGGAGTTTTACAGGTGTTTTGGCTGGTTCTGCTGCTGGGTTCCCACTCCCCAAGCTAGCGCAGCTGCCCCAGCAAGGGTCACATCCCTACCATGGCTGCTCTCATTCTGCTGCTTTTCACCACAGCCTGACAAGTGAAGGGGAGACTGCATATCTGCACTTTTAATTTTCATTTTTTAAATAGTTTGTTCTGCTCCTCCATTTAGAAGCACAGAATATTACAGGTGGGAAGGAGCCTCTGTAGGTCATCTGGTCCAACCACCTTCTCAAAGCAAAGCCAGTATCAAAGTTAGTAAGGTTGCTCAGGACCTTGTCCAGCCTAGTGTGTGAGTATCTCCAGGAACACAGATTCCATCATCTCTCTGGGTACCTGTCCCTGTGCTCGACTGCTGTTTTTGTGTAGGATCATTTTCTAAACATCTAAGTGGAATTTTCCTTGCCCAGTCTGAGAACTGCACTACCCCATCTATAGTGCGAGTGAGTTTTCCTTTTCCTCCCCTGCACCTCTACTGCCTTACTTGCCTCATAAATCGCAAAGCCGATGGTATGCATGTCCTCTCCCATCTTCCTCTGTTTCCGCCGGTGCTTCTGAATTAGGCCAATGAGGAAAGTGCAGCCCCTCTCAGGATCATCAGGATCCTCATCTTCTTCCTCCAGCTTGATTAAATACTGTGGATTCATCCAGAAAGTGTCTGGGAAGTGGATTTATGCAAACTGCTCAGAAGCTTCTTTAAAAGCAACTGTACTGATATATATATATATATATATATAATGTCAGCTAGAACAGATGCAGCTCTGACTTCCAAAATCAGCTGTGAGAAGGAAAATCTAACACTCCCCCCCAGCCTTTACAACCACTAGACCTTCATCAGGGAACCACATTTCCCAAACACTTGCACTTTTTGGACATCAACCCTCCTCCTCCATAGGCTACCCCAAACCAGCTCCCAGAGAAAGTACAAGTGGATGAGTAAAGGGTTTCTCCAGTTTCTCTTACTTGGGTAATTCCTGCAGCCCCCCGCAGTGGCTCCTCGCCTCCCGTTCCCATCCAACTTCAGCAGGCTCCATTTCTTGTACTTGTCGCTTGCCAGAGTGTCTGGAGTCAGGTTGCAGATCTCCAGGCGGGAGTAATGCCTCAAGAAGTCGTTGAACGCCATCCTGTGGGAGTCAATGCCTCTGGAAACATCTCCTTAGGAGGGACAGGTTTTCTACACAACCACTTTGTCTATTCTCCCACTCTCCTGCTGTGATTTAGCACTAGGATTTTGGGTGAATTTACTCACCTTAGAGAGTCTACTGAGAGAGGTTACTTCATATGAAAAAAAGCCGAGAAGATGACATTCCCTTCTGCCTGAACGGAAACCTAGTGGTACTTACCAAAATTCCCCATCTTCATGCCTCCTTGTCAGCTGCTCCCGCACCTCAGGGTCGACGCCATTCCAGTTTGGGCAGCTGAAAGGCAACCCCACATCAACTACAGGATACAGTAAAGGTTAAGCCCTAAGGTAGCTGTTCTGGCACAATGATTTCACTTTCTTGCAGCTCCATGCGACTGCAATACTCCACAATATCTAGCTGATAGCAGCTCCAGAGCTCTCAAACCATGGCAGAATTAAAACACAGGGACCTGGGATATTAAATACCTCACTTCCTAAATATCCAAGGTAAAGATGAGAAGCAGAGTTTTATTTCCAGAAAGTGCTAATGCCTTGACTGAAACAGAGCTTTATTTTAGAAAAAGCAAGACTCAGAATAAATACTGTCCAGCCACAGAAGCGAGTAAACTCCAGCTTTCCTTGCTAACAACAGAAATGGATTTTTAAAGCCCTTTTAGAAAGTAAGTTTTCAGAAACTCACCACTGAACCCTGGCTGTTAAAGAAGCAGAAACTACAGAGAGGCTTGTTGGAACCACCAACCAAACCACTGCACCTTACACGAAGGCAGGTGTTTGTATGAAGGGCAGTGACAGTGGTGGGATGCTTCTTTTAAACAGCTCAGAGAGAACATCACATCCAGGTGTACTTACAGAGGAATGTGACGTAGGGAGAAGACAGATGACAGCAGAAACATGATCATACCCCTGCAGTAAAAGCCTACGGACAAAGCGCAAGCCATCGACTCACTTGTCGTTCCACTTTCCAGTCCACTCCACTTCCCCCCAGGGATTTCGGATTCTGATCAGCTTCTGCACTGTTCCTCGGAAGTTCACCTAGTGGGATCAGAATTGTATGGGGAGTTACCTAGGGACTCAGCACCACGCTCCATTCCACCTTTTCTATGGGAATTAAAGGACATGACAGAGTAAGTCTCCCAGTGCTACACAACCACTACAGTGTATATACAAAACACACACTCATCCGGTCTAAAAGACATGAAGTCAAACTGATTTTGAACGAGCTCCATGTACCCAAGCTTGTCTAGGCAAGGTTTTTGTACAAAGCTCACGATAACCAAAATCTCTGTTTTGCGCCACTAAAAAAGTTACCTCTGACAGGATTTCAAGCAAAGGAAACGTAAAGCTGCTACAGGACTGGCACAAAGCAGGTACAAGGGGATATTTCTCTAAAGCTATCATCTATGTATAAACTGCCCTTTCACATTCAAATACCTTTTCCCCCTCCCTCTATGTATTCTGAACCGCACCTATTACAAGAGATGGGATACTCAGTCTGACTGCAACTCCTTTGACAACACGAATGCCCCACAGCACAGCAGTGTCAGCCCTGCCACAACAGCACCTGCTCACGCTGCGCTGAGACCCTGGCTCGTTATCTGCTGATCTCTGCGTGCACAGAGTCCAGCCCAGCAAAGCTGTATGCATTTCAGTGGGAATACCCAGTTTTTAAGGGGAAACGCACGGCGCAAATTTAAGGAAGGAGCTGGCGCACCTCTGGAGCCTGAAGCCAAAAAAACTGCACAGAACATCAGCAGAGTCCAGAAATGATGCTCCATTGCCGAAGATAAACTATCCTTACAAAGCCTGCACATATCTCCAAAGGAAAAGCCTGGCTAAATCACGCCTGTTTGTGAATTAAGATCAAACTCCCTCTTTGCTGCTTTTGCTGCGAGAGGAGGACCAAACGCATGCGCATAAACCTGCCTGTTACCAGCCTCCACCTCAGCGCAGCATCTCAGCAGCTCCCTACGCCTCACTCTGAAGTTTCAGAGATATTTCAGAAACAATTACTGGTGAAGTGACCGAAAGTCCATTACACACCTGGAAGGACACCATGACCTGCTTCTCTTGTTTTAACTTGCCTTGCCTTTGCCAGTCACTTGCTCTTGGACAGGCACCTTGAGTTCGAACACTGTGCCCTGCCGAAAGGCGCAGTTCAAGGACAATACTATTTGGTTTTTGTTTGTTTGCTTTTTTCCTTGCTTGGCAAACGTCTCTCGCACATCTTGCTGCGTGTTTAAGGTACAGCGTTGCCTGCTATGCAGAAATGTGTCGAGGGGCACGGTCACCAGCAGAGGGTAGTGTGCCCTCTGCATGGGGCTTCCCATCGCTCCCCTCACTGGGAAATAGCAGCGCTTATGGAAAAAAAGGGGTCCTTTTGGTCAAACCCCCACGAAGTCAAGTTTGCATTTATCCAAACCACACCAACTTAATTCAGTATTTCTTCAGAAAGAATGGACTCAAAACCTGATTCGCAAACAGATGAGACTGAAGAATTTGCCAACGTGAAGGTGAATCTGTGGCTGCCGCGGCCCGGGGAAGGCTACGCACAATGCTGGCTGCATTTCACCCCTTTGGGGAAGCACACCTACCTCCTCTGCCGCAGTGACTGAGTACGCGTGTCCCTTCACCAGCTTTTGGGAAGTGACTGCCTCCGTCTCTGCCGCACTGGTGATCTGGAGGAGCAAAGAAAATCAGTGAGCGTGGCTTCCTGTGAGCCTGGGATCCTATGGAGCAAAACCTCCCCCTCTAACAGAGCTTTAATCTTGCTGGGAGGCTGCAGGGGTGGTTCTGAGGAAACGAGAGGGATCTGCGTGACAGAGCGGGGAGATGGGACAGCAGCACACGTGACTGTGCTGGAGCACGTTCGTGGCATGGGGCATGCGCCAGAAGCCCTGCGCCACAGCAAAGCTCCCTCCTGGCTCCAAAACACTTGGTGTGCTGTATCCCCTCTCGTGCATCTCCAAACACTGTACAAAGGAAATACACACAATGAACTCCATGTTCTCAAGGGACTAGGAGGAACATAGGGAATGACCATCCTGAGGCTGCCTGGGCGTTGCCGGGGCTCGCATCCAGCTCCAGCAAGCCCCAGTGCTCTGCTTCTGGGTCAAAACATTGCCCTCGGCTCCATAGTGGGGTTGGAGGTTCCCACTCCTTTCCCCAGCACCACCACCTAGGACCAGGGGAGCAAGGGAAAAGGCTGCAATTTGGATGCCATATTTGAAGGCATATCACCCTCTCATTTTTTTGTGGCCATTACAATACTCGGGCAGTCTGGCCTACAAACACTGCAGAGAAAAGTCCCTTCTTGCTAAAAAATGACTGCTTAACATCTTGCTCTAAAGATGCTTAAATCTATGAAACGCATGTTTGCCATTGCCTTCTCACCATTTTAGAACGTGTGTGATCTTTAAACAAGCATATCTGAAGCTTAAAAAGAGGGTGGAATCAAGCAGGCAGGATGCCTGCTGTCAATTCAAGCCCTATTACTGCCCCGCAGCGCACTCTCCATGTAATGCTTAACCTTTGTGTCCCTATTTCTCTGATAGAAGAGAAGAAAAGATTTTACAGGATTTTTCAAAGGCTAAACTCACTAATAATTAGTTTATAATATAGAAAGCGTCAGCACTTACCAATAAAGGAATATATTTACTTCCCCCCGCCCCTGAAGAGACTTGTACCATTCTGGGGCAAAACCCCAGATGTTGGATTCTTATCTAAATGCAAACAAGTAAAATGGGCCTCAAAAGTGCTGCGAAGTCGCATGCTGACATTAACCAATTACTTTTCCTGCTGCGAAGCTTCCCTCTCCTGTGACTCTGATTTAATTTAAAAAATGGGAGGAAACACTTGAGTTTATATTATGAACAAAATTCTTGTAAACAGTTTACCTCCCCTTTAGACATAACTAAGATGTAATCTCCTTTGGGAGCAGGGTGATTATCACAATAACCATACTCAGACTCTTTTCAGTAAGCCTAAAAGCAATGCTGAATCCTTGCAGGCAGGGCCAAAGCTCCTCTATTCCTTCAGGTTCAGCTTTTGGCAATGTGTTTTTCAATAACGCTTTTTAAAGGCCTGGCAACAGTCCGAACCTCCCTGCTTCAAGAACAGAGCCCACGTTTTTTGGGAACATTTTGGTACAATTTGTGTGACAAGCACAAGGATCCTTGCTACGGCAAGGATGGATGTTGCCACCTCTGAGCATCTGACTGCAGAAGCCATTAGCAGCAGCTTTCTGTCCAAAACCACCCAGCCTGTACCAATCTGCTGCCAAGCTATGGGCTTTCTTAAGAACAAAGATGTACGTTGGGATCCATAATGAGTTCCCTGTACGATTTGTTACCACAAACGTATGAAACAGCAAAGGGCTTAAGGAAGAAAAAAAAAAAAATGGAGGCAATGAGCTTTTACACATGAACTAATGAAGTCTACATTTCAACTTAAGCCCCCAGAAAAGCACGCGCCTGTGTCACACTCTTGGGTCAAAGGCAGAGCAGAGAACCATAGGCAGAGGGGACCAGCATCCTTTGTGCACCTCCTGTGGTTGGAGCATGGGTCCATCCCCCAGCTGCCCGCACGCACAGCAAGAGCCGAGCGTCCAGCAATGAACCTGCTAACTCACATCGATGGAGCAGCCAAGGAGAGAGCCTTTCTGAAGAGCCTTCTGAATGATTTTGAAGAGGTTGGGTGGTGCCTTCTGCAGCTCATACCATTCTGCAATTCCACCGGTGAAGTCCTCGAAACCTTCAGTGGTGGTGCCACCAGAGAGAGACTCGTATGATCCGTTCAGCCTGCACGAAAGGGGACACACACATGCAACCATCAGACTTCCTATTTTCCTCTTCTCACACACACAACCATCAGGTTCCCTATTTTCCCCTCTCGGAGAGAGGCACGCAGTTGTGCCAACTGTCACACCATTTATGCTTTCAACAGCACCACAGCAGCTATTAACGCACACCCCCCCATGTAGCTTTGCTTCTTACACCTCTGTACTTGTAAAGCCCAGCATAAAATCTTATACGATCATGTATACGGGTTGCAGGTTCAGTCATATCAATGACAAAATCATGAACACTATTTGAAGGAAAAAAAAATTAAAAAAAGAAAAGAAATTAAGACCAAACAATTTGCCCCTCTAGTTCCACACAGTCTTTTAATTCCTTTCCTTTAACAATTATGGGTCTGATTTCCAGCTGATCTAAATTAGCTCAATTTCCTAAGTCAGTTGAAAATAGTAATGTTAGAAGGCAGAATTTCTCCCTGGCCATCCCCAAATGAAATTCGGATTTGAGCATCTTCACCTTGAACAGAGACCTGGGCACATGGACTTCAGCTTTGCACGCTGAAGCACCACTGCTGCAATCCCTCACCGGTGCATAGAGCACATGAAACTGAGCTTCCCAGGCCCCGGTGATGGGAGACAGCACCCTAGGAACAGCCTTGCCATGAGATGCAAGAGCTATTTTTCCTGGCTCGCAGCAAAGCCAGTACTATTAGCTACTTATCTTAAGCACCTGTCGGCAAACCTTCACTAAAGCAGCCACTGAGGGATACCCTAGAAGTTTTAAAGGGTAACAATTAGGCTGACATCTTAAATGCATAGTATCCGAGCAAGTGAGGATGCTACCGGCTGCCCTGGCCTCGACTCACTTGGCGTAGGCCTTCTCCAGCAGTGCACTCCAGAACTCACTGCCCTCCGCTGAGTGCACGAAGAGCAGCTCCCCGTTCTTGGTGGGCAGCCTGTCATCCACCACGACGTCCACCCACTCCCCATACTGCCAGAACTGGAAAGAGAGCACAGACACTTTGTCACCACTCCACACTGTGCAGTCAGGTCACCAGGATGTTTATCTGTTAACACCAATTTCCTAGAGGAAAAGCAATCCCCCTTACAGCCAGCTTCGCCCACCCTGTTCAGGGATGCATGTTCTCAGCTGGATCTGCTGATGGAGGAAGGACCACAAAGACAGACTCTGCTCCCAGCTCTGGTTAGCAGTCTTCTTCCTTCCACCACCATCACCCTTTCTGGATGTCTCTGTTTCTCTGCCTGGCTCTTTGACATCCCTCAAAATGTTCCAGGAAACACCGCACGTGTGAACACGACCAGCCACACCAGTTCCTGGCCAACAGCACTGGGGGGATGGCAAGAGACAGTTTTCCACCTACCTGGAAATGGAAAATGCCTGCATAGTTATCCTGGAAGCTCTGGTCTTTGGGAACGACACGGGCCAGTATTTCTTCATTCAGAGTGAGAGAGGCAATAGCGGCCAAGAGCCAACAGTCTCCTGTTAAAATAAAAAAGTTCATTATTGAAACTTTATTCTTTAGGTTTTGTACTGCATAGGGGTCATACGTTATAATTAATAAGCACCTCAGCTGCAATGAGATGATCCCTCCCATCGCTTTACCTCTACAGCAGATCAGATGCACGTACACAAATATGTGCCATTTCCAAGCAAGTTTCACATTTCCTCAAGACCAGAGCAATAAAAAAAAAAAGTAAAAGCAGGCTTTTTATGATCTACCAGCACAGTTATCACCCATGGTGGGACGATTTGAAAGAAACCTTAATATTCAACTGAGCGTCTACAGGTTAGGAAGCAGCATGGGGGAAAGGTGAAGAGCAGGGCCTGCAGACACACACAGGTACTCAGGGGTGCAGTTTCCCCTCAAAAGGCCAGTGTTTTCTCAAGCATAGGCTGTTTTCCTTTCCCTTCTCCATGTTTAATAAACGCCTGTTGACTTGCCATCCAGAGGCCTACGTTACGGACGAGCTCCCCTTAAGGTCTCTTGCCAGACTCCTACCAAATAGGAGCTCCTTTCACATCTCTGGAGGCTCCTGCTAGAGGCCTCTCTGTTTAGTCCTACATCCCGTCCCTGGCTCTAGTCACCGGGGAGTCAGGAAAGGTCTGAAGGCAGGCACTGTTCCCCAGGCCCACACACCTCTTCACCCCTCCTGGGAGGGAGCCAACATACACTGGGCCTGCACGCCAGAGCCCCAGGGCCCAGGCTGTCTGGGTAGTATTTTTCCACACCAAACAGAGGGAGAGGGAGACCACAACTATATAAACATTACCTCTATTTTTTGTAATTATTTTCAGAAATCAGTGTTACTTTAACAGAGTGGTTACCTTGCTGCTCAGCCATGGGTTTTCTGCAGCCCGTTAGCTCGGTGATTAGAGATTTAAAGACCCAGCTGATCCCCTGACTCCCACAACCCAACACAAAACTCCTCGTTACTATTACCAGATCTGCTCTTGCCTGGCTTTGTGAACACAGAAAAGTCAGTATTACACATTAGAGCCTACAGAGTCATCCTGCAGCACACGTAGGATTGTGGGTTCAAGAAGCATGAACCAGTCACAGCTGCAAGTCAGAAGCCAGCAAAGCAGCAGTTTCTACACAGCCAGCTCTCTCCTATAGGAAAAGGGTCAAAAGCTTGCAGGTGAGAAGCTGGGGTTGAAATGGGTGGTTGGGAGAAAGTCTCAGGAAGCAGCAGCTCCTGGTCACCCTCAAACCCAGCACCACTCAGCTAGCACAAGGAGGAACACAGGCAACCTGCACCTCCCTCCTGGCTGCCCATCGCTTTTCACAGCTGATCCCCCAGCAGTACCTCTATGAATTACATTTGTCCCACGGCTCCTTTTCACACCTTGAGAAAGGTGGAAGATGTGGAATTTCAGAATAATTCCCAAACCCAAGATGCTCTTACTATTTCATAACCTAGGGGTTATGAGGGGAAGAACTGAACATAAAACTCTTCCCTGGGAGCCGTGCACCCTCTGGTACGGGGGTGCTTTCAGAGGCACTGCCAAGCACAGCAACTCTGCTTGCTGGGAAAGAGACTGGGGTCAGAAGATACTAAAAGACATTTTTAGATGGGCTAATCTATAATTAACAGTATGATCCTCTGTCCCCCAGCCACACGAGGGCTTTAGCAATGACTCTTCACAGCAATTCTCCTTACAGAGGAGGATGTTAAAGAGCTCTGCAAACAAACCCTTTGGTCAAAAGGCAACAACAGGACTTCAACTTCGGTTCATCTTAGATCTGTGATCTCCCATACACAGCTTGCCTGCACAAAGGCGTTTTTGGTGATTTTTTCAACCGTAGGAGTCTTCAAACAAACGCAACATGGTAATCACTTGGGAGAGACTGCTCAGAGATCCCTTCTCTTCTAAGGATCCCTATTTTTATTAAGTGTCCAAAACAGCTAGTTTCTGAACAAGAGGTGGGGTCCTTCAAGTCCAAGGGCAACTCCCTGCTAGAGAACAGCCCTGGCACTTTGACTGAGGCTCTTGTGGCATCAGGCTGAATTAATACCATACTACCTCTGAATTAATATCATATTGTCTCCACTCCTTCCTTAACTTGCTTTTCTCCCACTGGCACTCATCACACAGCAAGTCAATTCATTAATCCATACAAAAAAGTCTTTCTGTCACCTTACTGAGTTAAAGGAGGTCACAGCTTGTGACAGGCCTCTTCTGGTTCAAGAGAGCAGTTCTGTATTTGGCAGTAGAAACATCATATGTAAATACACATGTGCACTGGACCAGCACACACCGCACGAGAGCTGAGCACTCTCCATCAACTCCCCGGTACTGCACACAGGTGGATAACCCTTGGCCTCCCCCCCAGACATTCCTCTTCTAGCACCCAGGAGCCACAGGCTCCTTGGTGTTATTAAGACCAACAAAATCCTAGAAGAAGGAAAAGAGCGGTGATCTTCATCCTCCCTGCTGTGCCACTGTCCCTCCAGCAGAACAATAATTCATTCCTGGGAAAAGAGAGCAAGCCTTAGCGAGACTTTTAACTTCTAACTAACCCCAATCTCCAAGCATCCTGAACATTGGGAAGAGGCATGAGATAAGTCATGATACAAAACAACAGGTTAAGCAGTCTCATCTCAGCACAGAGGCCAAATAACTGATAACCCACAGAGAGATGCCTGTCTGAGCAGCAGAACAACCCTGGCACACATCCCAGGCTCTGCAAGGCTTTTACAGACAGGCATGCACAACTCAGAAGCAAAGTGACTCTCTGGCATCTCATACCTACACGAGTTAGGCTACAGCCAGCACAGGTATGCTTACCTAGACTTCTAGGATGCCTTCACATGGTTAGGCAGATCCAGACTAAAGTAGATAAACCCAGAAAGACAGCAACTCAACTTGTTCAGCACAGCTGTGCTAATCCTAAGGCACAGCTAGGTAAAACAGTGCAGCTCCCAGCCTCTACAACCAAGCTGGAGGCAGAGCTGAACGCACTTTGTGCACACCCTATCAGGTGGGTGGAAACAGCTTGAGAAATGTCCTATGCCCCTTGTTTGCAGTCAGCTGTGGAGGTGTTTTCCCTCTCAATTGCTCAACCCACAGCATAAACCAGAATTCACATTGCACAGCCTTACTTGACCAGGCAAACTCGACCACTCCAAGAGACCCCCAGAGCATTTGACATTGATGTTACAACCCTCAGACAAACTGTGCTGATTTAAATCAGTAGCAAGTCTGGATCAGAGAGCAGCTGTCCCACCACTCTTCCAAAGAAATATTTGCATTTCTATTCCATAAACAAGGCAGGGGCTGGGCAGGCAGAGCAGCACAGAAAGAATAAGTGAACAACTTGACGTGACCACAGTAGCTCAGGAAGCCTTGGTCATGAAGCTGGTGAGGCATCTAGATTAAGAGCATACACCCTCAAATGCTGTAATACATCTTTGAGTCAGGTTTCCCCCATAGATTAGAAGCACTGAAGTTCGAGAAGGAGAAACTCCGCCCCACCAGAGGACCTCTAAGCCCATAAGCAGAGTTTATAAAGAATTTCCTTTACTTCCTAGCTGTCCCATCAAGGCACACATTAAGAGAAAGAAACAGCAGACGTTGTTGTAAAACCTCTCTGTTGAGCTTTACACTGGTTTCTAAGGAGAATCTGGAGTCACACAAACATAGATCTTAACTCTGGGCAAGGTCTTCTCAAGGTTAAAAGGCAGATGAAGCATATATGGGAGACACACCACCCTTTGGTTTCCACATTTTAAAGCGCTCAGCAGTCACGGTATCATCTCTCCCTTTCTGAACAGACACCACTAAAAGTAGACCTGATAATTCAAAGCCTGGACAAGAACAGATCTTGTGATAATACCTAGAGTTTTAGCCTGCACTATGCACGCCTGAGCAGGGTCTTTACCAAATAGTCTTAACTGTAAGAACGGGCACTTTTGTAAAGCTCTTGACAGTGCCTCTCCTTTGATAGAGAAGGAAAGTCCAAGAGGAGGCTAACACACAGGTTACTTATATGAAGAATTTGAAAGGAGCGTTAGGAAGGCTAGGTAATTTTTGTAAATGCATAATACATTAGGCAGAACAAAGTTATCAGAAAAGGGAATATTATCAGGCTGTGAGTTTATTTATATTAACAAGAAGTACTATTTTTCCCTGTTATGCTTCCTTTTTGTTGCTATCAATGTTTCACTAGTTATTTCTATGCATCCATCTCTGCATCTACCTAATCTCCAGCTAAAAACAAGAACGTTACAAAAAATGCAATTGCAAGGCAAGCATAAATAGCCATAAGGGCTTAGAACTGGCCATTCTGGAGAGCAAAGACAAGCAAAGCATCCCCAGGAAGTGCCTGGAGGGGTGTAAGTGAAAAGCAGCTCCTCAGGTCACTGCAGAGCCCATGTAAGAGTATGGAGTCAAATAAAAAATGTACATTCAGCCAACCACAGACACGTCTTTATTTTAAAACACTCATTACTATAGATTAACAACTACATCAACAGCTGAATGTATTTATATTAATACTATTGGACTCCAGGAAGTTTTCTGGTTAGAAACATGAGGCTGTGACCACCCTCTTACACTACAGCGGTTGCCAACGTGGGAAAACCATGCATCTAATTTTCTAAATTCATCCTAACCAATTATTTTTCCACACATTTTTATTTAAGGAGCAGACACCTGTGTCTAAACAGCAGAGGAGAGATGCTGTGCTGTGTATGCCCCAGTGTTGTGATACCATGGTGACATCCCCTCCAAAGAAGGCGGTTAAGGGTGAATAAGCTTCCTCTCCGCGGTGACTTTGGTTCCTCCCCTCCGCTGTAATGAGTCACCACATCCCATGCGCTGCCTTTCTGAGCCAAATACCATTATCCACTTCAGATCTGATACTGCAAAACTAACTCCCAATTACTCACCTTTAAAAGTTTCTTCTAAAAAGCAACAAAACCAGAATAAAGGATAATCCAAAGCCCAAGGGGCAGAATTTTGGTGTCTGGAGAACCTAGCAAACTGCCACCTGGGTGAGGGGACAGCCTTTTCCGCATTGATGATCAGCTATGCCTTTTGTGCATCACAGTATCATATAGTCCAGGTCAAGAACAATGAAACACATTTATAGGCTGCATCAAACCAAAAACTCTTGGGCTAAAAGGAACATCTGTACCACTGCTCATTAGCTGAGCTGTTCAGTTACATATCCCCTGCCAAGAAGCCTGTTGGAGCAGGGATGGGTGCGTGTGCTTTGGATGCCTCATCTGTCCCTGCAGTACTCTAAGATGTTCCGAATTGCTTCGCAACAGCCATGAAAGTCCATGTGGCTAAAGGTCTGTTGCTTTGCGATCGAGCCTTTTGGAGAATAAATAAGACTACAAAAGTTTCCCGTGGAAAAAAGCAACATAATAAAAAGTACAGGTTTCCAAGAGCATCTTCCAGTGCAATCTTCTCTGTAGCATCCTAAAATGCGATGGGACATCAGTGTCAGCACACAAAGTTCAAGTAAATGAAAGCTTAAGCAAATGTATCGATACAAATGCTGGCGTCAGATGAAGCCATGGCAAAAACCAACCAAACCCCCCCGCACACATTTGTACAGCACATCTGCTAGCCTCATTGTGTGAAAAAGCAGAGATTCAATACAGGCTCTTAGTAACTCAACGGCAATACAAAGAAAAGATCGATAGCATCTAATTTCTAATCAATCACTAAACTGTCACACGATACCAAAATCCCGCCCAGATTCATAAGAAGATAGCGCGGCGAGTCATGGCAGTACTTAGTCATGGTGAAAACAGTAATACAACCAAAACCACAACCAACCTCCTATTCAAATATTGTTTCGGGAGGTAAAATAATACCAGCTGTGAGTCAGTTTGTATCCTTTAGTGATACCATACAACCTCATGAGAACATCTGACTGGTCCAAAGACCATTAAGGCAACAAATGCTTTCATCAATTCAAAACAAGGTTTGGAATTAGCAACAGCAACTCCACAACTTGAAAATGAAGTTAAAAATCTTTCATTCCAGTGCTTTTGCTGCCACAACATCAGGATAGAAAAGCTGGAAGCCTGCAGAAGGCAGAAAGCAACTAAGTGCCTTCAGAAACCAGCATCTCTACAAAATGCTGAAATGGCATTACAATAAACTCTAATTTCAAGTTGAACAACTCCTTAGCTGTACAGTTTCACAACAAAAAAGAGGACAGATGTTTGGCATGTCCGTTAAGCACTGGGACATGCTTTTTGCCAAAATAGGCACGGTGGGAGACATGATATCGGGAAGGAAACTGGTGACATGCCAAGGACTTCACCAATTACACAATGGAGCCTAATCCCTGCCATAGATGATACCGGGGCATGAGGAGAAATTCACAATCCAATTTTTTTTTTTTTTTAACGTCAGGGCTTTTTACACAAATTGTATCTAGTTGTTAAAAAACACTAACCTAAATAACTTCCAAAAGAAAACATAAGCACAAAATTTGTGAAATAAGCTTCCCTATCCGTTATATTTCCGGACGTGAAAACACAAATAGCAGCAGCCGGACTAGAAACTAAGAAGCCGCAACACGGCTAATAGTATGCTGATGAAAAGCAAACAAACAGAACTTCATTCCTTTGCCAACCCCGCTGCGAAAACACAACACACGGCACGTATTAGTTGTGCTTCCCTGCACTGAGAGCTTTCCCTCAACCACGCTACCAGTCTAATCTAAAACTGTCTCCCTACAGTTACGGAATAAATAGGACTGCTTCCACTTCAGCTTCTTTCCTCTCGCATCCCCACAGCTGTCCTCCTCGCCAGCCTCCATGCTGCCTTCTGGGAGGAGAGGCACGAGGCACCCACCGAAAACCCCTTCTGGCAGGCAAGGCGGGAGAGAGGCTTGGAGACCGGGATAGCCGTGCACGCACAGCCAGGTTAAGCCACGCACTGTCCCCGGGGCTTCCCTGCAGCGCCAGGGGCTTCTCCGGAGCGGAGCGGCTGACTGAGGGATTGCCATTACTCAAAATGGCAGTGATTGCAAAAGCAGAAGGCTCAAAGGCTGGCCCATCCCTCCTGAAATATCCCAGTTTTGTTTTCCTTGAGAGCTGTTGAGCAGCAGGGAATCCCCCCATATATTTTTTTTTTCCTCCGTACCACATCTTTCCAGGTTTCAGGGGGTCCCTCCTGCTCGGCGGCACTCTCTCCCACTGGGGAAAGAAACACCCCGCTACGCACACAACTGCTCTCCTAAGCAGACTGTTAAAGGCAGAAATTGGTCAGGCTGCTTTCAGGCACATGGATGCGAACATGAAAGGAACTGGTACCGATCAGAAAAGCCATCAGGAAACCAGTCTGTGTCATCCCTGCTTGGGGCACACAGCAAGGCTGTGCTCAGTGCCCAACACACATGGTCCCTGCCGACAGCCGCAGAGGAAAGGCAAGAAAGGTCTGATTTGCTATGAAGAGAAGGAGTAGGATGCAAAAGGATGAATTTACAGAGGGAGTTACAGCCTAGGGTAAACTGTGGTGTCCTGGGGAAGCACCTCCATTACAAACTCAGCTTTCTGCCTCCACCTTACCTAGGGCCCCTTGGCAGATGTCCGTGCGAGTGGCTCCACCAGCTATGAACTGGGGACTGGAACACAGCTCCTGGGAAGGAAACAAGCCTCGTGTTACTTATATCCACAGGTATGGGAGGGAACAAAGCCCCGCTTGCAGCAAATTTAAACAAGCGATTGTCCACAGCAGATGAACGCCACAGAGATGGAGCAGGTCAGGACTGAGTGCGGGCACCAGACACACTAAGCACGGTGAGAAAGGGAGCTGGTCACCAAAGCCTGTGGGCAGCCATCTCACTTCACAGTATGTGTCAAGAGGTCCACTACATTTTTACGCACATGCATGCACCACTCCCCCATTACCTCCCCACCACTGACTACGTCAGGGTCTCTCAGAAACACCTGGGCACCCCAGAGTCCATCTGACCCGATGGCTCCCGCGGCCAGACAGGGCTGCTTCGGTAGCCAGAGGCACAGGCTGAACGAGGGCTTGTAAAGGAAACCTCCACACGGTCAGCTCATCTCTCTGCTAAGGGAAAGAATTATCCAAAGCGACAGCACCGAGCGCTACCCAAAGGAAGTGGTTTATCCGCACAGAGAGTTCAGGCCGCAGAGGGGAACGGCTTTTTGGTTGGTTGTTTTCCAGGTGGAGCACGTCACCCTGCCAGCCCGGACCCCGGGCAAAGGGACATCCCCAGTGCTCTGAGCGGCCGCAGCCTCACAAAACGGGGGTACCGGGATTTTGCAGCCGCCTGGGTGCT